GTAGGGCATACTGTGCATGGCGTGTCTTCCGAGTCTGCTGTGAGGGAGCCTCCGCGGGGAAGGAGTAATGCTCCGTCGTCGAAGACGCCAGCCCGGAGGGAGTTCTTGAGTGTTATGTGGGAAGGGTGGCCGAGCCGTTGATGCCAGGTTTCGGGTTCCGCACGGTAGCCGACCGTCTTCTGATAGTATTTGTTTCTTGCTGCTGCGTCGTTTTGCTCCTTTCCAGGTCCTGCATCGACGGCGTCGTCGGTTTCGTCGGCGAAGGCTTGAATTGACTTCTGTTCCAGAAGCGCGTGTGGGATTCCGATAATGTCGTCGGTGTCGCCGGCGTTGACTTGGTCACCAGTTACAAGCAGGCACTGGCTGGGCCAGTCGCGGACTGGGAGTCCCTTCATGGGAATTCGGAAATAACTGTACTCGGCGCCGATGACCACAATCTCCTGTGGTCCTTGTTCTGGCGGCTCCGGCTCCTCGGTAGGTTCTGGCAATTTTGCTGCTCCTCCGAAGAATTCGTAGGTTACTTCTTCTTCTGATTCTTCCTCCATCGGTTCTGTTGTGTCAGGGGCGTACTGGTCCGGAAGGGGAGGTCCGCCCCAGCTGGTGCCGCGTGTTGCCCAGTAAGGGTCGATCGCCGCGGTTTCCGCTGAGGGGAGTCCCGGAGCTTCGGGATAGGAGGGGGCCGCCTGCCCCCATCCGCCTTCGCTTGCAGAGGCACCCCAGCCGCCTCCGGTTTCGGTGTTGCCTCCAGTGCCCCAGCCTTCTTCTTCGACGCCCCAGCCGCCTTCGGTTGCAGCGGCGCCGCTTGCTTCTGTTGCCAAGACAGTGCCCCGTTCTTCTGCAGCTGCTTCTTCTGGTGTCAAGACTTCACCCAAGGGGCCGAGTGCAGGGCCGGGACTGCCCGATCTAGTTTCAGTCTTCTCGCTTTCTTCAGTGACTGATTCCGCATGTGCTGACGTGCCGCTGTCCTCTTCCATTGATGCAGGTCCAGTCTCAGCTGGGTTGGAGGTTGAGGCAGTCGGGACGGTGCGCAGTCGTAGAAGACCGTCCGAGGCAGGTCGCTCGAGATCCATTTTTGTGGGATGCGACCAAGTCGGTGTCTCCGAAGGAGTCGTTTTCAGCAGCAGAGTGCGGTGAGAATCTCCAGTAGTGCCTTGAGCTGAGAACTGCAGTACGAAGACCCCGTCATCGTCAACCGCCTTGCCGATGTAAGAGTTGTTGTAGAAGAGTTCGAAGGTCTTGTCCTTGCAGTTGCTACAAATGTCGACTCCGCACCGCATGAGTTGGGCCGAGGAGAGCAGGTTGTACCGCAGATCTGGGGCGACGAGCACATCACCGATGTGAATGGTGAACTTTGTGTCATCAGCTTCAAGGTAGACTTCTCCGATGTCGTATGCCTTGAGTGTGCTATTGTTTGCGACTGTGATTTCGCATGGTCGTCGCATGGGTTTTGAGTTGCTGATGAACGTTGGCGATCCCACCATGTGTTGTCCGCAGCAGCTATCCAGGTACCAGGTGTTGATGTTCTCGCGGGTTTGTCGCGCGATGTTGCCGATCTTCGGTGTAACCACGCGGTCTCTCTCGCCAGTGTATGGCGAGATAGCGAAGTACCTGTTCGCCGAAATGCTGGGAGGCGATCCGGTGTCGGCGGTGGCAGCTCGAAGTCAGGTGGGTACCGTGATGGTTCGTCGATCCAAGTGTAGATGGTGGGGTCGTTGTCCGGACTAGGTGCAACTAGGTCGATGGGGGCGTCAGATGGGAACTCTGTTCTGTCGTAGTATCGAGTTCCTCTGCGACGACGCACCATGCAGCTCATAATTGATCCTTTGCATTTGTCCTTGGTCGTGATGCGTGCAGGTGTCTGCGAGGTGCTTGCAACGGAAGGAGGTGATATGGTTGTTGCGGCGGGAGAGGTCGAAGGCGTCGAGGATTGATTGTTTGAAGGGTTGTTGCGCCTTTCGTCGGCGGCCTTTCGCTTGTAGCACCGATCGATAGTGTGCCCAGGCTTCTTGCAGTACTTGCAGAAGGTTCCCTTCTTTCCGTGTTGCTCCCCTTCAGTTGCTCCGACGTAGAAGACTAATTTCTCCCGCTTGGTGTTTTTTCTCGTTGTACAGGTCAATCTCCTTTTGCTCTGAGAGAAGTGTGGCGCACAGGGCCGATTCGGAGACGGTTGCTCGAGCGTGGAGCAAGGATTGGCATTGACGCCAGTCTGGTCCGAGGCCGGAGAGGACCACTGAGACGAACATGTCGTCTGGGACGGATCCGCCGCACTTCTTGATGTGATAGCGTAGATTGCGGCACCGGTTAATATATGGTCCCGCTTTCTCTCCTTGTTGCATTTTGACCGATGTAAGCTGGCTGAGCAGGCGACTCATAGTGACGGGATCTGTTGCCATGTATGAGTTGCGCAGGCGCTCCCAAGAGGCGTACGCGGGCGCCCACTCTGATTTGAAGGAGCGAATGCCGAGCTATTCGTTGGGGGAGAGATTTCGGAGCAGAGTGGTGTACGCGAGAAGTGATTCGTGGTAAAATTGGTTCTTCTCTTGGATGGTGCCTTCCGTTGGACACGGTAAGCTCCCGTCGTAGTACATCCAAATTTGTGCAGTTGTCGCGAGGAGCTCAAACTCGAAGCTCCAAGTGTAGAAGTCCTTTCCATCGAAAGGAACTGATGTCTTCAGCTTTGATGTCAGAACGAATTTTGTCTGCATTGTTGCAATCATGTCTGAGTGTGCGCGTTGTTGACTGTCTTGCGCAGGAGCTGAGGCTTGACGATTGTCAAACGTGAATGAACTCTCGGAGTTGACGCGGCGGTCTTCTTCTTTAAGGGAGAGGGAGTCCAGCAACTCCACGTGCATAGCTCGAGCCATCAACGCTCATCGCTTGATGGCTCTCAAGAGCGTTGATGCGGGCGACCAGCTGCTCAACGAGAGCGGCGCTGACGGAGGTCACTGCTGATGGTGCAGTGCGTGTTGCTGGTGGTGGGCCCGGAGAATCTGCAGTGGCTTTTCCTTCTGGAGCCATAGTCGTGCAGAGTTTGTAACGATGTAATGAATAATTTATAAGGAAGTTGTTCTAGCAAGAACAAGAAATTAGCAGACCTTATAATCCACTCTAGCTCTGATACCATGATGTTATAACTTAAGGATCGTAGTGGATAGGATAAAGCTGCCAAGTATATTGAGAGAACTATGAAGTCTCTGTAGTGACCTTGTTAATAAATTGAGGGAGAACAAGATGATTATAAGGTAAGAGTACAAGAGTATAAATAGCAAACCTAGCTAGTCATGTACTCTGAGGGGTACATTCCCTTATTAACTGAATTGCATTGCTACAGTAACCACGACTATTGCCATTCTAGACAGGTACCACGTTGCACTTCGTAACAGTCTTGTGCGGTTACTGGGCGGTCAAGGGTCACGACCGTTGACTGTCTTCGACTGTTGACCTTCGGGTGACCCTCGACCTTCCGCGTGCTCTATATGAGCTATTGCGGTACTGATACAGGCGTTTACTTCGTTATCAAGTGACGCGAGAGTGGAGATCCTTCGGGAATGTTTATGATAACCTTTCGGTTATTCCAACAGCGAGCAGGGCGGGGCACGGGTCGTAGGGCAGCAGGGCGCGCTGGGCGCTGGGCAGCGGGGCGCGCTGGCGCGCTGGGCAGCAGGGCGCGCTGGCGCGCTGGGCAGTAGGGCGCGCTGGCGCGCTGGGCAGCGGGGCGCGCTGGGCAGCGGGGTGCGCTGGCGCGCTGGGCAGCGGGGCGCGCTGGCGCGTTGGGCAGCGGGGCGCGCTGGCGCGTTGGGCAGTGGGGCGCGCTGGCGCGCGGGCAGCGCACGGGCAGCGGGAGCAGCAGGCGGGCAGCGCGAGCCGCAGGCGGGCGGGCGCACTAGGCAGCGCAGTAGTGCGCGGGCAGGGCAGGGCAGCAGCGTGACAGCGTGCTGGGCAGGGCAGAAACGACGGGACGGGCAGGGAAAAAAAGGTGACTGCCGGGCAGAGCGGAACGAATACCGTGGGGCCTAAAAAAACGGTCCTAACCGGAACCTGCTCTGAAACCATGTCAAAGAAGTGATGTGCATTGATTAGGGTTGTGAGTACAAGTAGGAAACCCTAAGGGGTTGTACTCACTAGAGTATGCCCCACTACAGCTTAGAGCATACAAACACTGTTTGACACCTAGAAACAAAACAATGAACCAATAAAGTTGAGTTTTTTATTGTTTACTCTAAATATCGGTTCGGATTTTTGGCCCAGCCACTTGGGCAGCCCCGGGGGTATGTCCAACAATTGGGATTAACCCGGCCCTAATTTGGTCACCTCCCTGCTATTGTTAGGCCCCAATTTGATCTTTTCCCAAAAATGATGTCCTTACTGTACCTACATTACAGTGGCTCTATATTTCACCAATCGGTTTCCATGAACACGAAGCCCCATGCCACGACGGCATGAACCACTTCCGCGACCCACGCTACCAATCAGCAAATTCCATATCGGAAACCTCCTTACTGTGTACTGTACACCTAGGACTTGGCTCGGCATCCTGTACAAATTGCCTCTCCTTTCCACGCAGCAGCAGCAACCACACAGCGTACGCATTTCAGCACGGACAATTTCCTGTTTGTTTCCCGCACACTCACCACCACCATCTCTCGCTTCAGTGTGAGTTCTATAAATTTGAACCGAGAAGCTCAATCCCGTCAGTTCCGTGCTCGGTCTCCTTTGACCGCACCGCAGTTCAGCGACACAGGAACATTCGTCTATCTCCTTCGCTGAAACACTCAATCTCAGCGGGAGCTTGAGATATGGCGCACAGACGTCACGGCTGCAGGGTTTCGCCCACAACCTCGTGTTGCCTACTCCTAGTGGCATTCTCAGCGGTTTTGTGTAACCGTTCTGCATCCGCGACTTCTCTTCCCGAGTCGCTCTCCTCCTACTCCAATGTAGCGTTGCTGGATCCGCGCTACGAGCTTTACTGGACCGTTAACAATAGCGATGCGACCATCCACATGGCAGTGAATGCCAAAACGACGGGGTGGTTCGGTATAGGCATCTCCGAGATTGGATCCATGGTGGGCTCAGGTACGAAACCCATACGGTCGGGTTAGGTGTGATTCGTCTTTGTTTTCTTGAACGATTGATTTGTTTTTCGATCTTATTGCTGCTACTAGCGCGGATGAAGCACATCTTCCGCTAGTTGTACGCGACGATTATGTAGGGATCAGATCAGACCGTCGATTCATCCGTCATCGTGATCTCGCTCATCCCGCTGCATTCGTGTGCGAACAGATGCCCTCGTCGCATGGGTCGCACAGTCCGACGCCCGCGCGTATGCGACGGATCGCTTCATCTTCAACAAGACGACCGAAGGAATCGTACTCGACGACAAGCAGGACTGGCACGTGCTGGGCGGCAGCCAGACCACGAACCAATCCACAGGCGACACGTGGACCACCGTGCACGTGTGGCGCCAACTGGACACGGGCGACTGCAACGACCGCCCGATCATTCCCGGGAAGCTTCACAACATCATCTGGGCCATGGGCGCCACGACTGACGTCAGCTATCACAGTTCCGACCGCGGCGCTTCCGCGCTCGTGCTCGCTCCTGCCCCAGGCCCGTCCATTCTCGCTCCTGCGCCTCCCCCCTCCGCCTCCTCCTCCGCGTCCGCTGCGTCGCTGGCTGCGCCGCAACAGGCAGGGAAGCAGCAGCAGCAGGAGAGCATGCTGAATTTCACGTTCACGAATTACCGGCTGCCAACCGACTTCACGACCTATCGCTGCAAGGTGCGGTGCTGCAATGCTCCGTGCGTGCGCCTTTTCCCTGCACGAATTCCGTGAGACACCGTTTCTGAATCACACTCGCACACCTTTCATGCTCGCGCCCCTCTCTGTACCCATCTGTGATGCTTGCACCCATCTGCACCGATCTTCAATCATTTCCACCGTTCTGCACCCGTCTGCGCCCATCTATGCGCCCATAGGTGGTGGACATTCCTCTCAAGGCCAAGACTCATGCGGTTGAGTGGGGTGCCATTCGCAACTCCACCGACATCTCAGCCGTCCATCATGCCGTCATCTACGGCTGCAAACCGTAAGCGATACATACCCTCCCCCTCCCCCTCCCCCCTTGATTTCCCCCTTGGGCAAATAGCACGCCCGCCCGCCGCTCGCCAGTCCGCCGCCCACCTCCTTTTACGGCCAGCATGACACTTTTGTGAACTCCGAAATGAGAATTCTCTCTCCCTCCTCCTCCCCCCTTACAGCAAGGAGTACGCCAATCTCACTGCAAGGAGTGCGGGGGCCGACTTTGACTGCCCGCACCAGTCCGACACGCTATGCCCCACCACTGTCGCCGTGTGGGCTGTGGGCGGCAGACCCTTCACCTTCCCGCCCAATGTCGGCTACCCCATCGGCCCGGGCTACTTCACCAAGTTCGTGCTGCAGGTAGGTGGGTGCAGTGCGGTGCAGTTCGATTTAGCGCGGTGCAGAACTCACTACATTTCTGGAGCCTTCCTTCCACCACCGTTTCTAGCGCTAACCCGTCCAAGCTTCCTTGCTCCAAAATAGTCGTCCCACCATGTCTAGTACCAAATTCTTCCCAGCATCCTCCTCTTACCCCCCTACCCCACGCACAAATGCCTTGTTCTGTGCTTCTCTTGCCTCAGAAGCACATACCAAACACCTTCCCTTTCCCCTCCCTCTACCCCCACCCCACCCGTCCCCCTCAGGTGCATTTCACCAATCCCAAGGGCCGCGCTGACCTCATCGACAGCTCTGGGCTGTACCTGAAGCTGGCGCCGTCGCTGCGCCCCATGGACGCGTCCATCATGCTCACGGGGCCCGCCTCCTACGAGTATCTCATCCGCATTCCCCCCGCCATGCCCTCGTGGACGCAAGTCAGCTCGTGCGCCAGCCAGTGCACCTCTGACGTGTTCCAGAACGAGAGTGTGAAGATCATTGGGTCCTTTCTGCACCTGCACACGCTGGGACGACAGGTGAGGTGAGGGATGAGTAAACTGCTGCAAATCAGGTGCACCTGTGGTAGTGTACCCTTGTGTGGTAGTATGGCCTCGTGTGTGTGGAATACCAGACGTGGACGCAAGTCAGCTCATGCCCTGCACCTGCACCTGCACGCTCTGGGGTGACAGGTGAGGGATGAGTAGATTGCTGCAAATCAGGTGCACAGGCGCTGTGGTGTGGCCCCATGTGGTATCCCCTCACATGCCCCCCTGTTGCCCATGCCTCATGCTGCCCATGCCTCATGCTGCCCTTGACCCCATGCCCCCATGCTGGGTAATTTTTAGGATTTTCAACAATACCCTGCCCCCGTGGCCCCATGCCTCCATGCCCCCCCTGGAGTCGCTTTTTAGGAATTCTCAAAAGATTCTCAACAATACTTTGCCCCCGTGGCCCCATCCCTCCATGCCCCCCTGCGAAGATATAGTCGCATGTGTTCAGAAAAGGTAGCAAGTCGCACTTTTGAGGGGCCTCAATTGCTCCCATGCCCCCCATGCTCCCCATGCGTCCATGAGCAGTTATACACGGATGTGTTCAGAAAAGGCAGCAAAGTCGCCACCATCAGCCGCCAGGACTACTAGTGAGTTTTCTTTATCGCGCAACCACCGCTCTTGTTCACCCAACCACCGCCCCCCTTAGCTCATCTTTACCCCACTTTACGCCTCTTTGGCCCTCTTTAACCCCTTTGAAACCCTTTTACCATTCCTCCTCTCTATCCCCACCCACTGACACGAACCCCTGCAGCATCTTTGCGTCGCAGCACGCCATAGGTACTGAAACCATCCCTCCTTCCACGTTCCCTTGTGTTTGTCCTTCCTTCCCTCTTCCCCTCCACCCCATCCCCCCCACACCCCAAACAATCGCAGCGACTTTGCATCGCAGCAGACCATCCCCTTCACGCCAAAGTTCGAGCTGCTGCCAGGGGACAACCTCACCAGACGCTCCCTTCCCTCCCTCCTTCCCTCTCTCCCTCGTTCCCGACACCCAAACAGCGACGTTGCATCGCAGCAGACCATTCCCGTCACGCCAGAGTTTGAGCTGCTGCCAGGGGACGAGCTGCGCACCTCCTGTGTGTGGGACTCCACCGAGCGCACCAACGTACGTGCCTCCTGCCCTCCATCTCACCAGCAACACGTGCCTCTTGGCATTAGATTACCTTGTGTTGTTGCAGCCCCTCTGTTGGTACGAGCTGCGCACCTCCTGTGTGTGGGACTCCACTGCTCGCACCAACGTACGTGCCCCTTAGCGGATTGAATACATCCGTGTACAACTGCTCATGGACGCATGGGGAGCATGGGGAGCATGGGGAGCATGGTGTATGGCACCACCCACCCTGGATTCCCCCCCCACTCCAACGTACATACCTCGCGTTTCACAGTGTCAGCCCCCTTTACAATAAACTCCTCTGCCCGCTGTCCCGCTCCGCCCGTTGGTGCATGCAGGTGACGGTGGGAGGGCCATCCCCAGAAGACGAGATGTGCATTGACTACCTCATCTACTACCCCGCACGCCGGTACTACTACTTCTTCCCATGCACAGGGAGCAGCAGGGTCAAGGTAATGCTTTTACTCATTGGGTGATGCGTTTCAATTGGAGACCCACCCTCTCACACGCCCATTGCTGCTCCAACCAGGGATGGACGAGTGCTACGCCTGCTATGCATCGTATGCGGTGCTACGACTGCTGCTGTGCATCGTATGCAAACGAGACTCTCGGCATGGTCCCCAACAGACCCACTCTGTTCTTGTCAGAAGCCCAACCCCTCACCAACAGTCCTTTCCCCTACCAACACCCCTTTCCCCTCATTCCCCCTACCATCTCCTGCTCATACTTTCACATGCCCATTCCTGCTCCGTGCAGAGATGGACTCATGCTATGACTTGAGCGCATCGTAAAGACACACTGGGCATGGACCTCAACAGCCCCGCGTTCCGCTTACACCCACCCCCTTCCCCTCCCCCGTCCATCCCCTTCCCCTCCCCCGTCCACCCTCCTTCCCCTCCCCCGTCCTTCCCCTTCCCCTCCCCCATTCACCCTCCTTCCCGTCCCCTTCTAGAGATGGCTGCATGCCATGACCTGTGTGCATCATATGAAAACAATGTTTCGGCAACATGGCCATACCAGGGGAACCCAACAGCCATTCTGCTTGCAGCCCTCCCCCATCCAACCCCTTTCCCCTCCCGCACCTAACTCATGCAGTGATGAACGTGTGCCATGACTTCTGTGCATTGTACGAGAATGACACTCCTGGGTGGACTCTAACAGCCTTACCTTGCGCGTACGCCCACCCCTTTTACCCTTCACAACCCACCCCCCTTCCCCTCCCCAACCCACCCCATTTCCCCACCCCAACCCACCCCTTTTCCCCTCCCCAACCCAACCCCATTTCCCCCTTGCCCCACCTCACCCCCACCAGAGATGAACGTGTGTTATGACTTCTGTGCGTCATATGAGAACGACACGTGGAGCATGGACCCAAACAGCCCCACGCTGTCGACGTTCTACGTGTGTGGCGGGTCCAACGTCATCCCCTCTTACAAGCCCTGCAAGATCACATTCGGTGCCAACACGCCCAAGAAAGTCGTCAATGGCTGTCCTGCTCAGTAAGTAACACCTCTCGTCAAGTGCAGATAAATTCGCACTGCACCGCACCACACCCCTACCCTGTTACGTCACTCACTCCCCTCCTACCAACCCTGCAAGATCACCATTGCTTCCAACACGAAAGAGAAAGTTATCGACTGCCCTGCTGAGTAATTTAAGATTAAATCGCATTGTACCACTCCACACCACAGCCCTACCCTGCCACACCATTTCGACACACACGCGCACTTCAAAGGTCACCTGGTCACGGTCTCATCACCATACATCTCATCACCACACACCGCATTGTCCCCCATTCCCTCAACCCATGACAGGACCCACGCATCACTGGCAGACATCCCCTCTGACACCATCTCTGCACCGCTCTCCTCCAATGCACCACCTGCACCTCCTGCTTAGTTTTGGCACGTCTCAAAGCTTATCCCCACCCACCACCCCTCCGTTACAACCCTCAACAGGAACCACGCATCACTGGCAGACATTCCTTCTGACACCATCTCTGCACCGCTCTCCGCCAACGCACCACCTGTGCCCGCTGCTGCGCTCCCTCCTCCTACCGCTGCTGCTGCTGCTTCATCACCCCCAGCAACAGCTCTGGCAAGGCAACACAAGCATCAGTTCACAGTGGCAGTGCCAGTGCACTGGTGGCTGTAACTCTGCTGTGCTCCGTGCTTGCCCTTGTGCTCTAAGATACACCGTCGCTGCTGGTGCCACTGCTGCTGCTACTGCTGCTGCTGCTGTTGTCACACCCCACAGCAACACCAGTGGCAAGGCAGCACAAGCATCATCTCATCAGTTCACAGAGCAGTACCAGTTCAGTGGTAGATCAATTCAGTTTTTATAAAAAAGGTGCTTTGTTGTTCCATCCATGCTGTGAAAATCTCTTACTTTGGGATAACAAAAGACTGACACATGGTTGAAAATCTCTTACTTTGGGATAACAAAAGACTGACACATGGTTGGTACAGCTTCAGCCCATTCACCTCGATAGAAGGCCAGGCTTTTATTCACCGCTTTGCATGCCACCACACCACGGTAGCTGCATTATTTGTAAGCTCTGCTTGAGCGCCGCACCACCTCGTTACAGGGCGTCCAGTTACAAGCAGCAACTGTTGCACCTGTACACCCATCTCGCAACAGCTTCTCCTAGAAGTTGGTGCCACTCTCGTAGGTCGTCCCGGCGCTCCATCCGCTCGGAATCACGTCTTGCAGCACCACCTGCTGCCCGCCGCCCGTCACGCGCACGCTCACGGCGCGCCCCGCGTCGACGACGTCCTTGGCGGGATTCAGCACCCACGTGGCGCCCCATCCGTACGTCGTCATGCTCGCCCACTGCGACCCGTCGTTCGACAGCTCCACGTTCTCCACGCCTCCGCTCCCAGCCGCGCCGAGAATCTGAAGCGCGAAGTTGTACGCGTTGCTATCGTCCACGAGTCTGACCTTCACTCCGCCGTTGCTAGGGCAGTCCACGCTGCGGTAATCGATCTCCACGCGCCCCGCGGCCCGGTCGCCGACGATTCTGTCCCACGCGGCGAAGTTGAGATTGAAGTCGCCGTTCTGGCCGACCGCTCGCACCAGCACGCTGCCCTCCAAGCAGCTCGGGTGGTTGATGCAGGAGACTTCGTAGCACCTTCCGCAGCCCTTTCCGCTGTTGAAATCGCCCGAAGGCACCTGCGCTACCATGCCGAAGTCGAAATCCGAGGTTTCGCCGTAGCTGAATTGGCCGCGGTAGCACGTGCCCTCGTGGTCCAGATCGGCGGACGTGGCGTACATGGCATCGGCAGGGGTGAGGGCGAGAGCTAGCAGAACGAATCCCACGCAGAGTAAGCCGCCGACGTTGAAAACGGGAGCCATTGGAGAAAGAGAGAAGAGGGAAAGAATCGCTGAGAGCTAGCGCCGGGAGATTGCTGATGTGAAGACGGGGCTTGAATATCAGAGACACAGGACGGTTGGAGGATAGATCGATTTAGGTGATGATAGTGAAGAAGCAGGAGATTGATATAGTTGCGTCGGTCGGGAAGGGTCAGGACTTGGGACTCTGGAAGTTCTAGGAATGGAGCTGCTCGGCTCGAGTCGCCCTCGTGAATTCTCTCTTGAAATTCGCCCTCGGCTTCAGAACCACCAATAATGTTGTTCTCAGACTGCTTGGCGATGGCGACGAAAACGGCTGTAATTCACTTCGTGAGTCGAAGGTTGGGAAGGCGATAGGCTCAACAATAATTGTTTTGGGAAGCGGCGTCATTCCGTTCCGTCATTCTCGGGGATTGCTCCAAGGAAAGCAATGTCGTTGAGTCAGTTTCAGATGCAGCTCGCTGGGAATAATTCTACAAAAATTCCCAAGAGGCAGAGGGTCTAGGCGCGGGGCGAGAGGCTCACGATTATTGTAGTTGCGCAACGCCAGGATACTTTGTATTTGTTGGTCTTCAGGGTCATGGCTGGTAACTCAGCTCATTTGACGAACCACACCGAAGCGTTTCGCAGGTGGTAACACAAAGATATGGTTTGTGCTCCTCGCTGTTTTAGCATTTCGCAGTCCCACTCTTTTCAGCAGACAAATGCAGCAGGAACATAATACGAGGCGCGTTTCCCGACTGTGTCTAACTCCACGAAGCTCATTTTAGGGTTTTCTTTGGTGGCAACCTTGTTGCTTGGGTGTTACATTGCATGCGCCATAATCTCAGCATCTCCCTCCGCTTTTTTTCTTGCGGTTTAGAAATCATGTTTAAGCGGGTGATTTTAACGACATCATGACCCACCGTTCACCACGCTTCTCCCACCGAGTCGCTCCCTAGTAGCACACCCTCCGCCACCTAGAACTAGTGAAGCGACCCCCGGCTGCTACTAGCAGTAGGAGTGCGTCGTTCAAAAACGACAACGTGGGTGCTAACAGAAGGGAGGCCACGTCATCCACTGGATCTGGGGTAAGGCGAAAGGCTCCGACCTATCTCGTTCGAGACGCGGATCGCGTAGACGTGGGAGCGACACGGCCTTCAAGGCCTCTTCGCGCTCTCGTCAATGAAAGCATACCCCCCACGACGCGTTTGTGAGCATGAGGGACAGGTTGGTATGGGGGATGATGAGGGCGGGGGGGTGGGGGATGATGAGGGCGGGGGGGTGAAGGGCAAGAGGGTGGAGTGGCTTTGACACTGTCAACATGAGCATGGGCGTCCATACTCGCTCTGTGTGTGGGGTGTGGGCTTGGATTCGGCAATGCGTGTGGGTCTGGCAGGACAGAGGTGAAGGTGACTTCTGCACACAGGGACCACGAGGTTTGGGTTCCGTGTGTGTGTGCTGACGAGTGTCAGCAGTACCCCATGATTGATGAGGAAAGCAACCCACGGGCTTGTTCAAGTGCTTTCCTCTCCCCCCCCCCCACCTTTTTTCCATTCCTCTCCCCCCACCACGCAGTGGCGCGCTGTGTGCCGGGGCAGGGGGATGTGACTCACACTATTGCCCTCACACCATGCAACACAAGCCACGTGACACAAACCACGTGACGCAAGCCATGCAACACAGCCATGCGACACACACCGTATATGTGGCTTTCCAAATCTACGTGATTGGCTTGTTCGTTAAGTTCAATGCTTTTCTTTTAATTTTCTCAGGAATGTACCCTTTTCCTCCGCTGACGACAATCGGAATGGCCAGGCGGTTACAGGTTGGTTCGATCCCTCACGGCATGCTTGTGTTCATTAGGGCAAGGGGGTGGGGGATGATGGGGGCAGGGGGGTGGGGGATGATGGGGGCAGGGGGGGTAAGGGGAGGAGGAATGGGGTAAGGGGGGGGGGGGAATGGCTTTGACACGTCAACATCAGCAGTAGCACCCATGCTGCTTGTGTGTGGGGTGTGGGCTGTTGGATTCGGCAAGGCATGTGCGGTCTCGCATGACAGCAGGGCAGCCTGCTGGGACCTGAGGTGAATTCTGCGCACTGGGACCACGAGGTTTGGGATCCGTGTGTGTGTGCTGCTGAAGAGTGTCAGCAGCACCCTATGAATGAGAAAAGCAACCCAGGGGCTTGTCGAGGCTTCCCCCGCAATCCAGGGGCTTGTCCGAGTGCTTTCCTCCCTTACTCTCGCATCCCTCTCCCTCCGCCAGGTAATGGCTGGCGGCAGGGGGGCGAGTGGGAGATGTGACTCACACTATCGTCCGCACCCCATGCGACACACAACATGATGCGACACACACCATGTGTGTGACTTGAACACGCTGCATGAATGGCTTTTCTGTTGTACCTCTGCCTTTGAATCAACAAGGTCATCCAAACACAACTGATTTGTAACTTTCTGCAGCAACCCTCTGCACCTCTGTTCACCCCTCTGCACTTCTCTGCATCCCTCTGCACCAACCAAGTGGACCTCATGACCTCGCGCGCGTGGGCATCTGCAGAGCGCTAGTGGTGCACTCCAACGGGCTCAATGGGATCTCCCCCATGGGTCAGTCCGTCCACCCCATGGGTCAGTCCACCCCATGGGTCAGTCCACCCCATGGGTCAGTCCGTCCACCCCATGGGTCAGTCCACCCCATGGGTCAGTCCGTCCACCCCATGGGTCAGTCCACCCCATGGGTCAGTCCGTCCACCCCATGGGTCAGTCCACCCCATGGGTCAGTCCACCCCATGGGTCAGTCCACCCCATGGGTCAGTCCACCCCATGGGTCAGTCTGTCCGCCCCATGGGTCAGTCTGTCCGCCCCATGGGTCAGTCTGTCCGCCCCATGGGTCACTCTCCCCCATGGGTCAGTCAGTCCAGCCCCACCAGCTGTACGAGTATAGGTCCGCATGGCAGCAGCATACGCAGGCCACCTGCACTTCCTCTCAGTCTCGCTTCCCCACGTCCTGCCCGTGTATGCAAAAAACAAAAACAATTACTTGTTCTTTCTTGTCTATCTCACTCCATTCCTCACTCTCTCCGCCACCCCCTATTCCCGCCCCTGTTCCCCTCCCCTTGCCTCTCTCACAGGTCCGGCAGACATGCTTGAAGTGACACAAGACTCGGTTCGCCCCTTCCGTGTCGACCCCTGTGAGCACTCCCATTCATGGCCTCTTGCACCCCATGTATGACTTTACTTTCTTTCCAAGCATGCCACTGCTTTCCAACTTGCGTTCATCAGGTTATGCCTACACAGCATTCTTGTGGACGACCCCAGGCTCATATACCCCGCCATGTCAGTATGCCATGTCAGTATGCCATGTCAGAATGCCATGTCAGCACTATGCTACCTCCTCTCTCAGGCAGTAACCTTCTATTTCACAGTCGCCCGCCTCTGGTGCCCATCATCCACTCCTTCCCAATTGCCTTCAAGGTTCACACATTCACTCCCTAAACACCAAACTGCAGCGTCGCGCACTGCGCCACATTGAATTAGAGGGAGCGAATTCAGAGACTCAAGTTCTGACCCCGATACTTAATTGTGGCATTGTGCGTGGGCCTACAGATCCTGATGGCTTCCCTAGCACTCTGCTTCAAACTCCCTCCCCTGAGCAGTGTACTACGGCATAGCGCGGTGCAGCATAGAGGACCTCAACGGCTGCAGATTCTGAACATGTCACAAAGACGTGCCGTGGACTCTGATGGTGTCCCTTGTACCCTGTGTCAAACATTCTTCTTTCTCCCCGAGCGGTGGACCACGGCATAGCGCGGTGCACAATAGAGGACCTCAAGGGTGGGGACAAGGCACTCAACGCCCAGCTTCTCACAGACGCCTTTGGCGGGCAGCAGGGGGGCATCGCTGATGCTCTCGTGAGTGCCAGGGAGGGCCGCAGGGGGGTGTGTGTGAGAAGTGGGAAGAGAGGGTTTCAGATGAACCAGTGTGGGTTGACTAACCTTTCGTTGGCATGTGTAGGGTGTGCGTGGTGCGTGACTCGAACCAAGCTGGCCTGTCTGTAGCAACAGTGCTACGAGCCACTGACCGCCTGCTCTCGTTTCCCTCACTCTCACATTTATCTCCCCGCGTTCTATCCTCCCTCCTCCTGTTCCTCCAAATATTTTCTAGGGAACTAGCAAGGTGGCCAGTGAAAGATGTGGGCGTTCCTCTCCCTCCCAGCCTGTCTGCATGCACCTGTCAGCAGCCCACCTGCCCTCCTCGGACAAGGTCCGCGTGCTCTCCCTCCGACACGCACTCCCTCACTCCTGCTGCTCCCTTCTGCTGTCTATCCTGCTGTTCCCGCCCTGCAGGTGCTGAACGCGGGCACGGGGCTGGCAGCGTGTGGGGTGGCAAGGGACGTGGGCGAGGGCATAGCCATGGCTCAGGAGGCGCAGCGCAGCGGCAAGGCCCTCCTAGTGCTTGACCAATGGGCCGCCCTCTCTCAGGTGATAATCGCCTGAATCGTTTTTCTCGCCTTATTAGCCTCCAATTCCATGCCTCGAAGAAGCATCCACAAGATGGCGTTTAGATTGGTCAAGGAAATTTGCAGGTGGCTGCTTCATCAAACTCTTGTATGGGTGCACGTAGCCCACACTTGCACCCCTTCCCCACACCCCATCGTTTTTCCTCTCTCCACTCTCTGGTATGTGCGTGCGTGCATCCTTGCTGCTCTCTTCCTCCGTTGATTTTTTTTTCTTCTTTCTTTCTTTCTGGTTTCTACCAACACTCTTCTCTAGCAGGAGCTGCTCAAGAAAGCTGAGCAACTAGCAGTTGCTTGATGTTGTTATGCAGATAAAGTGGCACTTTTGCAGCAAAAGAGTTTATCATTATTCTTCGTCTAGTGTTGAGTCTGCTGTACAATGTTACAGTTCCCCATGTTCAGTCCAGTCTGCTAATTCTGCACAGTCCCCGTCAACAACTGTCAGCTGCTGCTGCTGGTTCCTTCAGAGGGGCAGGCGTGGGGAAGAGAAAGTAGAGTGGAGCAACGGAACGGAGCCCCCTGCTGTTGATGCTCTAGTCCAGAGGGTTCCCCAATGTAGAAGCAGACGCAACTGTGGCACAGGATAGCTTAGGAGGCGTAGGGGCAGGTGCAGGAAACGTGAAGGCATTGAGAGGGAAGGTGAAGGAACGGATAGGTCAGGTGTAGAAACGCAAGGAGCGGGTGAGGGAAGACAGGTGAATTTCCCTCTTCAGATCTGCTCATTCTGAAGGTGCACTCACTTGATGATAAAAGCGTGTCCTCCCCTGGTGTAGTCTGAGTAGCGTGCCACTCGTTTCAATAAAATACTCTGTTTGTACTGAGCAGAATGAACGATTACATCTAGCATAGCATCGCATAGCACCGCTCCTAATATCTCATAGCATCGCATCACCTCACGCCCATCCATAGACTGGACGGGCTTTTATTCACTGCATTGCACGCCACCATGCCACGGTAGCTGCATTATTAAGGAGCACTCTCGTGCGCCACACCACCTCGTTACGGCGCACCCCATTACTAGCAACATTTCTCACGCCTCGGGTACAACCCATCTCGTTAGAAGTTGGTGCCGCTCTCGTACGTCTTCCCGGCGCTCCACTTGCTCGGAATCACGTCCAGCAGCACCACCTGCTGCCCGCCGCCCACAGCCGTCACGCGCACGCTCAGCTTGCGGCCCTTATCCACGACGTCCTTGGCGGGATTCAGCACCCACGTGGCGCCCCATCCGTTGTTCGTCATGCTCTTCCACTGCTTCCCGTCGTTCGATATCTCCACCTTCTCCACTCCTCCGCTCTTCGCCGCGCCCAGAATCTGAACCACGAAATTGTAGACGTTGCTGTTGTTCTCGATACGAACCGCCATGGTGCGGCTGCTAGGGCAGTCCACGCTGCGGTAATCGATCTCCACGTTACCCACGTTACGGTCTTTGACGATTTTGTCCCACGCGGGAAAGTTGAGGTTGAAACCGCCGCTCAGGCCGACCGCTCGAACCATCACGCTGCCCTTGGTGCAGCTCGGGCTGTTCTTGCAGGTAACTTGGTAACACGTTCCGCAGCCCTTGCCGCTGTTGAAATTGCTCGCAGGCACCTGCGCGACCATGCCCTTGTCGAAATAGGGACTGTCGGCGTAGGTGAATTGGCCCCAGTAGCACGTGCCCTCGCGGTTCAGATCGCCAAGTGTGGCTTGGATGGCATCGGCGGGAGGGAGGGCGAGAGCTAGCAGGGTGATTCCCACGCACAGCAGACTGCCGACCTTGGAAAAGAGCGCCATCGGAGAAAAGAAGCAGAGGGAAAAGAGTCTCTCCGAAATTGTGAGATCTTTCTTCTGAAGCTAGGAACAGCCGAGTCTGGAATCCAAACCAAGGAACGGGCTTGAATAGGGAGTCTTGAATATCAGACACTGTCGTCGATTAGATGATGATAGGGAGAAGAAGCAGGAGATTATATACTTGAGTTGGTAGGCGAGAATCGGGAATTGGGAGTCAGGTTCCAAGCAACAAGCGGCTTCGAGTCGCCCTCGAGGATTTCATCTCCCTGAAAGCGCAGTGGAAACTGTTGTGGTGCGGTGGAATGACAATAATTGTGTTCCTTTCGCGAAATGAGTGCTTGGCGATGCGACGGCACTGGTTGTAACTCTGTTCGTGAGTCGAACAGCGGCAAGGCGATTGGCTCTATGATAATTGTTACGAGGAGGGGCATTGTTCCTTTCCGTCAATCTAGGGGATTTACTGGGAACAATTTCACAGGTGCGACTGGAGAGGCTCACGATTATTGCAGCCTTGGAACGTCATTGGCGGCATGGCCGATGGTGGAAGGCAAAGCAAAGCGCGAAACGCAAACCATGTTTTCCCATGCGAACTTCAAAATCCTGGTAACTCAGCTCGTTTGACGACACACATCACGGGCAGCTTTCGCAAGTGGTAACACGACACAATTGAGCACACTCGAGCAGATTATGATTTGAGGCGCGTCATCATCATACAATATTCCAGCTCATTCTTTGAGCCTGGTGGAACTTGGTCCCTCAAGTAACGCATCCAATGCGCCATAATCCCTAATCACATCTTTCGCGCCCGTACTTCTTGCAATTGTAGGAATGAAGTTTGAGCGAATGAACTCGCCATGTTCCGCCATTCACTCAGCTATGATAGTAGTAACGACGGCCTCCGTCCACCACACCTCTCCCACCGAATCGCTACTTTGTTGCACACCAGCAAAGCGATCCGCAACTGCTAGTGGGAGGGCGTCGTTCGAAAACGGCCAATGGTTGCTAATGGTAGTAGCGAATCGGGAAGGCCCTCCTGGATCTGGATAAGGCCGCGGCATAGGGTTCCGACTCAATTGTTCGCGACACGGATCGCGTCGAGGTGGGAGCGATGAAGAGGCGACGCAGCCGCAGCCTTTTAAGGTCTCTTCGAGCTCTGTCGATTCCACTCGCGGAAAGAAAGCAGATTAATTTGTTCGTTAAGTTCAATGCATATTTTCTTAGGAATATACCGTTTTCCTCCGTGGACGAGAATCGGAATCATTCCAGAAGGTTACAGGTTGGGTCAATCCCTCGACGGCGTGCTTGTGCTGATTAGGGCAAGAGGATGGGGGATGATGACGGCAGGGGGGGCAGGGGGGAATGGCTATGACACCGTCAGCATCAGCACTACTAATGCTAGTAGCACCCATGCTGCTTGTGTGTGGGGTGTGGGCTGTTGGATTCGGCAAGGCATGTGCGGTCTCGCATGACAGCAGGGCAGCCTGCTGGGACCTGAGGTGAATTCTGCGCACTGGGACCACGAGGTTTGGGATCCGTGTGTGTGTGCTGCTGAAGAGTGTCAGCAGCACCCTATGAATGAGAAAATCAACCCAGGGGCTTGTCGAGTGCTTCCCCCCCTCCTCTCCCATCCCTCTCCCTCCGCCAGGTAGTGGCGGCAGGGGGGCGAGTGGGAGATGTGACTCACAGTATCGTCCGCACACGATAAGACACACACCATGCGACACACATCATGCGACACACACCATGCGACACATACCATGCGGCACACACCAGGTGTATGACTTGACACGCTGCATGAATGGGTTGTCTATTGTACCTGTGCCTTTGAATCAACAAGGCCATCCAAACACAACTGATTTGTAACTTTCTGCAGCAACCCTCTGCACTTCTCTGCATCCCTCTGCGCCAACCAGGTGGACCTCATGACCTCGCGCGCCTGGGCATCTGCAGAGCGCTAGTGGTGCACTCCAACGGGCTCAATGGGATCTCCCCCATGGGTCAGTCCACCCCATGGGTCAGTCCACCCCATGGGTCAGTCCACCCCATGGGTCAGTCCACCCCATGGTTGCATAGCATCCGTCCATTGCATGTAGTTTCTTTTGATACGTTGGTCCATGTCATTTCAATCTACCTTACAGTGCAGCGTATTCTTTCTTTTCCTTGCAGGTTGCGTCGGCATGCCTTTGACTTTGCAGCAGCGTCTGGACATTCTAATAGGAGTGGTGCGAGGGCTGGAGTATCTGCACAGCTATGGCATCGTGCATCGCTCTCTTAGCCTGAAAAACATTTTGGCTGGATGGCAGCACGCAGTTGAGTGTGCTGTGAGGGCGCAAAACACAAACATGCTGCAGAGTCTTGTCGTGTGGAGCAACATTTCCTCACTCCCTCCCCCCGCCCGCCCACGCCACGTAAAGCCATCCTGCCCCGCACGTCACTGCACCACACTCTCCAAACACAACATGACGCCAGGCGAAGATTGCAGGATTTGAATATGTGACGCACAGGGCGACAGCGAGTGGCGAAGACGTGGTGGTGGGTGAGCTTGAATATGTGGATCCGCAGGTGCTGCTCACTGAGCACCCCACAGCCACCAATGACCTCTACACGTGCCAGGCCAATCTCTTCTCCCTATTCCGCCCATTCCCATCCGCCGCCCATTCCCCTCAATCCGCCCATCTTTGTTGCAAAATACGCCGCACTTTCGAAATTACGATGGCGAAATTACAATCCGCCCATCTTTGTTACGGGGCCTGACCACTGCATCCCACAGATCCATCCATCCCATATCCCCCCTAGTGCTTCCTCTCCTGCCCGCGGTACTCGCTGTTCAAGGGCATTGTGAACGGATGTGTGTGTGTAAAGTGGAATCTCTTTATTTTTTTCTATTGTCTTGGGTGCCTTTTCAGAAATTCGCTGCACGCGCATGAAGGCTGGTTTGTTGGTCCCATTATCATGTTCAACTGCCATTATCCTTCACTGCCATGCTCCTCCATTGCCATACTCCGCTCTCAACTCTCTGTGCTACCCCACACTCCTTCTTTCTCCATCCTGCCCTTCGCCCGTGCGCCCTGCCTGCCCCCCGCAACCAGTCTGGGAGTGGTGCTGCTGGAGCTGCTGTGCTGTCAGGTCGCCGTTCTTTTACGCAAGAGGAGAACGTGGAACCGATCAGAGACAGCGTGAGTGCAAGTGGAGCATTGGGGGGAGGGCGAGTGTTGTGCTCTGAGGCATGCCTGCCAGCTGTGCAGTGTTTTTAGCGGAATTCCTGTCTGGAGGCTTCGCAGAATGTTCCGTCCGTTCACGGCAGTGATGAGGCAGCAGGAGACTCAACCACCCACTGGTGCGGGCGGCCCACACCACAGAAGAACTCACGCACTCCTATCTTTTCCTATCGCAACTGGGAACTGTTTTTTTTTATTTTTTATTTTTCACTGCCTGCCTTTGCCGCCTCACATCCCTCGTGCCGCTCCTCTCGTGCTCGACTCTCCATGCTCCTCCCCCCATAATCCTCCCCTTCATGCTTCTCCTCCAGACTGTTTCCCAGAATCTACCCACCTCCTTTGGGTCATAGTGTTTCTGTTTTGGGATTCATCTTTCAGTTCTAGAGTCAGCATCTGACTTCCCCTCCCCCCCCCCCCCCCTCTGACCTTCACCCCGCACCAGGTTGAAATGCTGCTTCAAACCAACAATGCTCTCTTTGATCGTGCCCTCGCCGCCTCCTTCCTCCCACCCACCACTAACACCAGCGCCAGCATCCCCTGCAGCAACACCATCAGCAGCTCCAGCACATTCTCTAGCACCACCACTGCAGGCACAGCAGCTACCAGCACTGCTGATACACTGGGTGTTTCAATACCGAATGTTCTTATACCCATTTTGGTGCGGCTGGCTCGTGTCGGGCTGGCATGCAGAGCCATGCCTGCTTCCACCCGGCCCTCCTTGGGAAGAGTTATTGCTGAGCTGGAGATTGTGCGGGATGACGTGGCAACAGCACTGAGCCAGATGGAGGAAGAGGTGGAGAGGCAGAGAGGGGAAATGCAGGAAGGGAGGGGTGCCGTAGCATGCAATAGGGGAAATGAGCATTTGGACTCGCGGGGCAATCCTTTCCACACTGACCCTTCCTCCTCCACATCTCCGAATCCTTCCATTCCTCCTTCGCAGCTTCCTCCTCCTCCTCCTGTGCTCGCCTCCTCCTCCTCCTGTGCTCGCCTCCTCCTCCTCCTGTGCTCGCCTCCTCCTCCTCCTGTGCTCGCCTCCTCCTCCTCCTGTGCTCGCCTCCTCCTCCTCCTGTGCTCGCCTCCTCCTCCTCCTGTGCTCGCCTCCTCCTCCTCCTGTGCTCGCCTCCTACTCCTCCTGTGCTCGCCTCCTCCTCCTCCGCCCTCCCCCCGGCGCCGCTGCTGTGCCAGCAGGTGGCCATGGCGGACGTGCTGCGTGCGACGGCCGGATGGGCGGCGGAGAGGCGCATTGGCAGCGGCGGGTTTGGCGACGTGTATCACGGCGTGAGCCCCCTGGATGGGTGCACGCCCTGGGCTGTGAAGCGCGCCAGAGTGCTCACCAACAACTTCCAACGCGAGGTGTGGTTGGTGGGGTGGTGGGGGTTGATGTAAGGGGGATGGGACGGGGTTGATGTTAATTTGATGGGGTTGAGAGTAGGGGCGAAATAATGAGAGACGTGCCCAGCAGCAACAACGCCAGAGGGCAACGGCTCCAGAGAGAGGCAAGTTGGCGAATGAATAAAGAAGAATGCGAGAGGCATGTGGTATAGATCTAATTCTGTGTTTTGCCCCTGCGAGGGTTCCTTTCCACTCCATTTGCCCCCTTTCTCCCCCATCCTCTTTGACCTCTCCTCACATTCTACCTTATCACCCCCTCCCTGCCTCACTCCATTTGGGTGGCATCAGATCAACGAGATGGCATCGAAGCACCACCCTCACCTGGTGCGGCTGCTGGGGTTCTGTGTGGACTATGACGCGGTGGAGCAGCGCATGGAGCAGATCGCCATCTACGAGTTCATGCCCCACGGGGACCTGCACCACCGCTTGCATGGCGATGACACAGGTGGGCACCACCGCTTGCATGCCCATGACACAGGTGGGCACACACAGACTCTTAGGCGTCTCACAGATGGGCTCGGACTCGTACGCGTCTCACAAGGGGGCGCACACAGACAGACAACGAGGATAGAGCTGAGTTGCAGCGTGGGGTGTGGGACCGACAACGAGCGGGGGAGTGGGAGTGAGAAGTAGAGAAAGGAGGAGAAGAGAGGGATGTGGGAGGGATGGGAATGCAAGCTTTTAGGAGGAGGAGGGTCAAGGCTGGTGGTGGCCGTGCCTGATAAAGGCCCGGCCTGATCCCTTTCCTTCTCTTCTCTCTTATCTTCTTCCCTTCTGTTTTGCTCGTCAGGTGATATCGTCCCCCTGACCCTGCAGCAGCGGCTGGAGATTCTGATAGGAGTGGCGCGTGCGCTGGAGTATCTGCACAGCTTTGGCATCGTGCATCGCGACGTCAAGCCCGCCAACATCCTGCTGGACGCCCACATGCAGGCGAGTGCAGGCGAGCGCAGGCGAGTGCAGGCGAGTGCAGGCACTGATGGGCATCTTACGAGAAACCAACATCCAGGTGGATGCAGGCGAGTGGATGCAGGCGAGTGGATGCAGGCGAGTGGATGCAGGCGAGTGCATGCGTGATGCGTGGATGGGGTTCTCACGAGAAGCCAAACACACAGCTGCCTTTTCTCCACAAAAGCCAACTTTCTATGGGTTTGCTCTCGTCTCCATCGCGCAGGCGAAGCTGGCAGACTTTGGTTTGCTGAGGCTGGCGGAGGGCAGCGGCTCACTGGAGTCCACGCGAGTGAGAGGCACGCCGGGCTATGTGGACCCCGTGTATTCAATCACTCACTAGGCCACTCCCAGTGCTGATGTGTACACGTGGGACGGCGTGTGCGTGTGCACACATGCATATGCTGCCCACTTATGCTCTCTGCCCAAGTATGCATGTCCTCGTCTCACTCAGGTGCTCTCTTTTCTCTATAGTGCCTTCATTACACGTGCTTGCTCACCAATAGCCACTCGTCCGATCTGTCCTGCACACTGCTCCCTCTCTCCCTTCCTCCCTTTTTCCCTCTCCTGCCTTCCCTGTCCCTCTCGCCTGCGCTGCTCTCCCCAGCTTTGGAGTGGTCGTGATGGAGCTGCTCACCTGCAAGTGTGTCGTGATGCAATGTGAAGATGGATCACACATCAACATCAAGGACTGGGTATGCCGCTGCTTCTTTCTTCCTGTCAACAATCCCTCTTCTTTGGCTTCCGGTGTGGTGGAAATTCTCCATTCACACGGCAGCTGTCTGTTGCATGAAAGCCCTTGCATATTCCGTCTCACTGTCTCTCTTCCTTCTTCCAGTCCCCCCTCACTTACCTCCTTGTCCTGCTCCCCCTGCCTTTTCCCTGTCCTCTCACCCCCTCCTTCCAACGTCTCTCACCCTCCCCTTTCTCGTCCATCCAATCTTGACAGGTGGAGAAACAGGTGGAGAGAGGGGACAGTGCGTCGGTGGTCAACGGGGATCTCAATGCACCGCATGCCGTGGCCTCCAAGCTGGTTGAGATCTCTCTCTCATGTGTTGCGAAGCTCGTGTCAAATCGACCCACTATGAGCCATGTGCTAGTTGAGCTTGAGGCTCTGCGCAGGGAGCTGATGGGTGGAAGACAGGAGAGAGTGGCGAGGCAGCTAGATGCACAAGTTCAACGAGCTTCACTGGATTGTAGCCAACTGGAGGCGGAGCTTGAGATGATCTACCGGTATGGTGCTCACAATAACTAGTGCCCATATGAAAATAGATTGGGGAGATATTCAAGACTTGCATTTGACAGAACTTTCACTGTCTCAAGGAGGGTTGTGTTGTGGCTCACAAAGGGTTTGCACACAGGGATAGCTATTGAAGCTTCAAATTTCCTAGTATTACTCGATATGGCGAATCCCGTCAACGTTCCGTTCCTTGCCCGGCTACGTTCCGTTCCTTGCCCGGCTACGTTCCGTTCCTTGCCCGGCTACGTTCCGTTCCTTGCTCGGCTACGTTCCGTTCCTTGCTCGGCTACGTTCCGTTCCTTGCTCGGCTACGTTCCGTTCCTTGCTCGGCTACGTTCCGTTCCTTGCTCGGCTACGTTCCGTTCCTTGCTCGGCTACGTTCCGTTCCTTGCTCGGCTACGTTCTGTTCCTTGCCCGGCTGATAGTGGGTAGTGTGGATGACATACTGTACTGTACTGTACTGGTATACAGAATTGATGGACTTGGACGGGAGGGCATTCGTGGACCTGCAGCAGCACTGGTACAACCATTACCAGAGCGCCCTTGCTCTTTGGTGGTAGTGTAAATTTTACCATTACCTACCATGATCCATCATCACATCACATGCCATATCACAGGGTTGTTGCAGTGTGAATTTTAACACCATTCCCCAGACAGGTACCATAGTAAAACATGTGCTGTATCAAGGTCACAGGGACTCAGATACTAGTGCAATACTGTTGCATGGCATCCTCTGCACATAAGAGACACCATTGATTTCAAGCCACGCTTTACCCGCCCAGCAACCTCTCAATGGCTGCTTGCACGTTGCCCCCAGTGGCCCTCAGTGCAGCAATGTTGTCCTGCTCGTTGCCAAACCCCATGTCCCTCAGCTGCCCCAGCTGCGTCGCATAAAACTCCTCAGGCGCCACTCCTGGTGGCGGCACTGCCCCTCCTCCCAACCCTCCCAACCCTCCCAACCCTCCCAGACCTCCCAGACCTCCCAACCCTCCCAAACCTCCCAGCCCCCCTCCCCCTGCCGCCGCTGCAGCCATGGCTGGCCCCATAAGCGTTCGCATGAGCGCATCCAGATCCCCCACTCCCCCCGCTCCTGCTCCTGCCCCTGCTGCCCCTGCTCCACCTGCACCCCCACCTGCCGCACCACCTGCTGCTGCCCCCGCACCACCAGTCCCTCGCGCTGCTCCTCCCTCCCCCATGAGGCGCCGCACCATGCCCATGCTGCCAACCAGCTGCCCCTCCGCCACCCCCGCTCTGGTCAACCCCTCCAGCCCTTCCCCACTCAGCATCCCTCGCAGCGCTGCGGCATCCCCCAGCAGCGACCGCAGTGCCTCGTTCCCGTCCACCTGCCCCTGCAGCAGGGCACTCGCCCGCACGGCCTCCGCCACGAACGCAGGGTCGTCCAGGCGCTCCTCCAGCTGCTGGGGCACCCCCGGCAGGCGCAGCAGCAGGTGCAGCAGGAGCAGCGAGCGCAGCACGGCGGGCGGGTCGGAGGAGACGTCCGGGAGGGCGATGGGCGGGAAGGGCAGGTTGACGGTGTTCAGCCCTGGTAGCCCCCCGCCCAGCCCCGCAGGCGTGGCGCGCTGAGTGCCTGCTGCTGGTGTTGGTGATGGTGGTGGGGTGATGACAGGAGTTGGTCAACGGAAGGATGGGCAATGGGTGAGAGAAGCAGTTGGGGAGGTGAATGGAGAGGGGATTCGGAGGTGAACAGAGGGGGGAGTGAGGGGGGTAGGGGGGTCAATTGAGGGGGGATAGGGAAGTCAATCGAGCGGGGTAAGAAAGTCAACTGATAGGGGGTAGAGGTCAACAAACGGGGGATACGGAAGTTAACAAAGGGGGGATAACATGGAGGTGGATGAGAGAGAGAGGTCACGGTGGTGACGGAGGGTATTAACGAATGCATACGTGTTGAGAGATGTGGCATGTGGGTGGGAAGTGAGGTTGGTGAGCTGAAAACGGCAGGTGAAGGGAAGCGATGAAAGGGTGCGACAGGCAGCGACGGTGGGATGAGTGTGAAAAGGGGGTAAGAGGATGGGTAGTGGCTTGCTTGATGGAACCGGCAAGAAGACAGGATCATAAAACCACACAGCACAAGAGCACAACACCAGAGAAGAGCACGGCACGGCACAGCACAGCACATCACATCACAGCACAGCACATCACATCACAGCACAGCACAGCACAGCACATCACAGCACAGCACAGCACAGCACAGCACAGCACAGCACAGCACAGCACAGCACAGCACAGCACAGCACAGCAAGGCACGGCACAGTGCAGCACGGCACAGCACAGCAGAGAGCACGGCACCACACAGCTCCCAAGCTCACCTGCACCGCCCCACGGGTTCGGCAGCGGAGCCGTGTTCGCCGGCCCACCAGCCCCCTCCGCCCCTCCTGCCCCCGTCTCCCCACTCCCCCCCGTCCCCGTCGCCCCCCTCCCCGCACCGCCCCCCACACCCCCGCCAGTGGCAGCATCCATGAGCGGCTCCTGCACGTTGTGGTACATGTTCCTCAGCATGTTGAACCCCCCTGGCATGGCCTCAATGTTGCTCATCGCACGATCCGTCGTGCGCATCATCTCGCGCATGAGCTCGGGGTTCCGCGCCGCCTCCATGGTCTGCCTGAGCACGGCGGGGTCGTTGAGCACGTGAGCGAGCTCGGGGTTGCGCTCCATGAGCTGCTGCATCTGCGGGTTGGCGGCCAGCATGGAGCGCATCACCTCGGGGTTGTCCATCAGCGCGCGCACGGCGGGCAGGTTCATCATGTCGCGGATCATCTCCGGGTTCTGCATCATCTGCTGCTGGAACTGCTCCAGCCCGGGCAGGCCTCCGCCCGCGCCGTTGTCCAGCCCGAGCCCGCCCAGCCCGCCTAACCCGCCGAGTCCGCCCAGTCCGCCTAGTCCGCCGAGTCCGCCCATTCCGCCCAGGCCTAGGGGGTCCGCGGCTCCGCCTCCGCCCAGCGCGGCTGCCAGCAGGTCCGGGGGGACGCGCTGCGCGCCTCCGGCGGCGGGCGCGCCTGCTGCTGCTGCGGGGTTCGCGGAGGGCGCGGCGGATGTGCCTTGTTGCGCGGCGGCTGGCTGCGCCGCGGATGAGGGGGAAGCCACCGCTGCTGCTCCCCCGCCGCCCCTGACGAGGTGCAGCGTGGAATCCGCCTCTATGCCTGTGGCGCGGGAGGGGGGTGGGGGGTTGAGGAGTGCATGGAATGGGATGGGGTGGGATAGGGTGGGATGGGACGGCATGGGACGGGATGGTTCAGACGGAAAGAGTGATAAGAGTCGGAAACTCGGTGTCCAGCGGCGGGTAAAATCGGCGGGTTGATTGAGACGCGCGAAACCGGCGATGGGGCTCCACGGTTCGAACGAGCGGAGGGGCGAAGGGACGGGGGGTCAGATCGCGAAGGGAGCAAACCACGGGGGCAGCAACCACGCAAGGAGGTCAGAGTGTCCCTCCCCTTCCCGTTCCCGCTTCCGATTCCCCTCCCCCCCTCGTTCTGCACACGCGAGCACGTCCCTGATACTGACGCTCCTCGTAGACTGTCTCAGGACGGGACCGGAGTTGCGGCGGCTGCGGGATTCACGCACGGAGTAAGAGAACTGGCGGGAATTGATTGCGGCAGACTATGCGAACCCGGAGACGTGAAGTAAAATTGCGTGCGGTCCCGGCGATGCTAGCGATTTGTTGGCTGGTTCGATCCCGTCGAATCCGCTGCCTAGCCTCGACAAAATCCGGCTGCTACTAGACTGCTTCATCTAGCACCGCACCGTTCTGCACGCCTTTCCACCGCGCTACGCTCCATGCACTCATCTACATCACACTACGCACATCTGCACAGCTGTCCGGCGAATCTCAAACAGCTTCCTAAACACCAATTGCATCCGAGCTGCACACGACGACGCGTAATCTCAAGGCGTACCGCAGCTTTCGAGGGTGACGTCATCCTTGAGAATCCGTCCTTTGAAGATTAGCCGCTGCTGCGGCACGGCGATGCCCGACTTGTCGACGAGCTGCTCCTTGAGCTGGCGCACCGTGGCCGTCAGATCCACGTCCAGCGAGTACTTGACGTTCGATAGATGCTTCACGTGAATCTCCACCCCCATCGCCGCGATCGCTCGTCGGAGGAGAAGAGAGGTCGTCAACGTGTGAGGCGAGAACGGTACTTTCAAATCTAGGAATATCAGAATCGTTTATGAGAGTTGCGGTCAAGTACATACCGTACGTATTCAATTCATGGAACAGTGTTAACATGGAGCAATAGCTCAGTGGTAGAGCAATCGACTGCAGATCGATAGGTCCCCGGTTCAAATCCGGGTTGCTCCTGGACGATCTCTTTCGGATCAAGGCGGTGTTCTTTAGGGGCTGCATTTGTAGTACGTGAGACACACTTTCACCATCGATTGCAAAGCACTTGTAGTACGTGAGACCCTGGCTTTAAAACGACTCTCACTCAACGCCCCTGTTCTTGAGCGCTTTCAACAACGAAATGGGCGGAATCAGGAAGGTCGGTCATGGCTTCCTGATTCCGTCGGTTAGGGTCCGTCGGGTAGGGTCCGGCGGGTAGGGTCCGTCGGGTAGGGTCCGGCGGGTAGGGTCCGGCGGGTAGGGTCCGGCGGGTAGGGTCCGGCGGGTAGGGTCCGGCGGGTAGGGTCCGGCGGGTAGGGTCCGGCGGGTAGGGTCCGGCGGGTAGGGTCCGGCGGGTAGGGTCCGGCGGGTAGGGTCCGGCGGGTAGGGTCCGGCGGGTAGGGTCCGGCGGGTAGGGTCCGGCGGGTAGGGTCCGGCGGGTAGGGTCCGGCGGGTAGGGTCCGGCGGGTAGGGTCCGGCGGGTAGGGTCCGGCGGGTAGGGTCCGGCGGGTAGGGTCCGGCGGGTAGGGTCCGGCGGGTAGGGTCCGGCGGGTAGGGTCCGGCGGGTGGTCTGGACCCGACTTGCACCCGCCCACGGATCGGCATGAACAGTTCGAGCCGCACGCACGAGAGCGGTGCGCGACATGCAGGATCATTTCCATAGCGATCCCAGGCGATT